TAAAAGATATAGGTGACAGCTACTTTGAAAAACAGTTTGGGAATTACCTAGTAAATTTGATCAGGTGTATACCCTATAACACAGAACTTCCATTCTTGCACACACAAACCAGAAGACATATAATGTTTTCGAGTAGCCCCAAACTGGTAGCAACCCACATGTCCATGAACACTAGGATGGATATTAAATTGCAGCATTTTCACAGAACGGAATACTATACAAGAAAAAAAAATTGACCAAATTACAGCTCTACTCATTAATATGAAGAAATCTTTAAAACCTGTACAATGATGACCCCATGAAACAAGACATGGAAGAATATATTAAGTCTGAGTCCAATGGAGAAAATTTAAATACAGGCAATCTAAGCAATATTGTTTAGGGGTATACACATAAAGAAAAGTGAGGAGAGGACTTTCACTAAATTCAGGATGCTGTTTCCCTTGGGGGAAATGTGTCAGGGAGGGGAACATGAGCTTCTAAGGTAATTGGAATAGTCTCCTCACTGACCTGGTGCTGGGTACATAGGAATTTATTACTGTTCTCTGCATTGCATATGCATGGTACATACTCTTGTGTATATACCACACATTCAACACACACCCCCTCCCCCATTCTTGTCCTCAGCTGGCAGAAGAGTGGCCAGCGTCCTTCATCGCAGTTCCTTCCTGTTACTGAGTGGGCGAGAGGAATTTGGGGGGTGAGGGCCTCCCCTCTGCAGCTGGGTCCTGGCCACTCCAGGGTGACGGGAACGCAAGGCCAGGCGAGGCCGGCTGGCTGTACTGTTCCTGCCAACTTGGGGGATTAGGCCAAGGCTCTCGCCCACCTGTTGTTTCACTCATTCAGCATGAACATAGCTGAGGGCTTTCTGTAAGCCTTGGATGCTGTTGGGAGGATTCGGGTAAGTGAGAAATGGTCTTTGGCCTCAAAGATTTTACAATATACTCAGAGGTGATCACATACACAAATAACCATGACACCAGAACATGTGAGCTAAGTGACACATGACAACCCAGCTACTCTTTCAATAAACATTTGTTGAGCATCTATTATGTGCCAGGAGCCATGCGGGATGGTGAGCATGATAAAGGCAGTTAAATCACAATCCTGGCCCTTAAGTTCTTAGGCTGATCCAGGGGAAACAGACACATAAACGAGATAAATATAACAGTGGGGCAAGCCCACAGACGTAGATACGGCCAGGGAGACACAGGAAGGGGTTCCACTCAGGATGGGTAGGATGGGGACAGGCAGTGGAAAAAGGCTGGAGAAGGGAGGTCTTCCTGAGGGGCCAGCTCCTGAACTGAGCATTATGGGTGGGGAGGCAAGAGCAAGCTGCAGGGCTAGGACATCCTCTGCAGAGGAATCAGCTGGGACAAAGGCACAGGAGTAAGAAGCAGCACTGTAGGTACTATCTGCAACTGAACCCAAGTCCCCACGGGCATGGGGAGAGGAGCCACAGGAGGGGGATGCTGGGCCAGATCAGAGTCCTATTTGCCTTGCCAGATCTTGGATCTTCCAGGTGCTGGGAGCCCCTGAAGTGTTTAGGGGGAGCTTGGTAGTTCACTCTGGCTCAGTATAGAGGAAGGGTTGAGGGGCATGGATTGGAAGAAGGAAGGCAAGTTGTCAGACTATTGTGGATCCAAGAAATATTTAGACAGGTTAGCTGTGTCTGAGAGGGTGGATGGTGGGTACGAGAGAGGCCAGCTTCGCAAACAGCTCTCTGCTGGAGTGACCAGGTGGAGCACACAGGGAGAGGCGGGCTCCCGCCTGGAATGAGTGTGGCTCTGGGAACTGGGGAGCACTAAGTATGGACAGAGTCAGGGGACAGCCAGGCATGTGGATGGGACGCTGCACCATCTGGTCCCAGGGCTCCCAAATTCTGGCTTGTGGACAGGACTGGTCTGAGAAAGTGAGGAAAATATGGGCATGTAATGAGCTTCTTATAAGCCAAATGTATGCACTTTAAAGAACCATCCTTAGAAGTGTCTGCAATTAAATCAATATGCATATCACTTACAGGCATTAAATGAATTACCAAAATAAATCTCTTAAAGATTCAAAAGTGGTGAGCGTTTTTTGTTTGTTTGTTTGTTTTTTGGTGGGGGGGGGGGTGAGGGATGAGGCATTGGAGACAAGGATTTTATTTTTAATTTAAAGGGTTTTAAAATAAGCCTTTTTAAAATATATGTTTTATTGATTTTTTACAGAGAGGAAGGGAGAGGGATAGTTAGAAACATCGATGAGAGAGAAACATCGATCAGCTGCCTCCTGCACAACCCCTACTGGGCATGTGTCCGCAACCCAGGTACATGCCCTTGACGGGAATCCAACCTGGGACCTTTCCGTCTGCAGGTTGACGCTCTATCCACTGAGCCAAACTGGTTAGGGCTAAAATAAGCCTTTTAAACGATCCTATTTAAAAACTCATAAAACATACAACATTTTAAAAAGCACCACTGGCCTTTGTTCTGAGTTCAAGTCCTTTCTTTTAATTGCTAAAAGTGGACTTTCTTGTATGAAACGATACAAAGACAGCAGGCTGTTTTCTCCCCTGTTCTCATTGAGCCCTGAGCCGTGCAGAGCACCTACCAAAGGCTGAGCGCAGGGTTCTGCGCGCCTGCGACCCCGCGGCCGGCCGGCAGGGGTCAGGCGAGCCCCACGCACGGCCCGCGGAGCCGAGCCGAACCCGAGAGCCAGAGCCGCGTTTCTGGGCGCGCGGTGCCTCCGGGGAGAGGGGCAGACGGAGGCCCTAAACCTACCTTAAACTGGGGGGTCACGACGAACAGCCACCTGGGTCATGAGTCCGGGCTCCGCGGGGCAGGATGTGAGCTGAGCGTCCCCTCCACGCTGTGTTGACACCAGCTCTGGTTCCACCCAGCGTCTGGGCGGGGCTGGCTCAACTCCGATTTGTTCGCGTGCCTCTGGGCCACTCACCTTACCCGTCTCTTGGAATGGGGCTCTGGTGCAACCTTTAATTGATTTATTTTTCCCTTATGCTCTCTTCCACCTCCACCCACCCCTCCCCCAACCCCGTGTGCAACCTTGTCTTCACAACCGGGTTGTCAGGAAGATCAAGGAATTAATATGTCAAAACGAGAGTTGAGAGGGCTGCATAGGTGAGGTATTGCCATTACTAGGCTATATGGGCTTAGAATTAGGGCTCAGGCCTCTGGGAAGCGTCCTGTAGCTACAGCCCCAGATAGACCAGTTGTTCTGAAAGGTGGCCTGTGCCTCAGAATTACCCCTGGAGATGTGATTAGGTCTGGAGCCCATCCAGGAATCTGCATTTTATTTTTTTACAGGTTGCCAAGCTCTCATAACGGGTGTGCCCAGACCACACTTGGAGAACCATTCCCTTAGCTTCTACTACCATCCCACAGGGCTAGCAGTGGGAAAGCAGGGACGGTAGTCAACGGGGGAGCTTGGGCTGATACTGTGACTGGGTTACAATTGGAGTGGAATTAGAGGCAGCCCCAGGAAGGAGGAGGGCTGGTCGCGGAGGCCGTAGAGTTGCACAGTGCATGTAAACAAGCCAGGACTCCCACAAGAACCAAAGTGGAAGGGCCCTGCTCTTCCATTCATGACTCACTCAAGCTACACATTTTTTCGGTGGCAGGAGAACGATCGCTTTCTTCCCAAGTTGGTGGCAAGGTTTGTAACCCATCTTGACTGGACGAAACATCCCATTCTGTCACACTGTGAATGTCTCCGGGCTGGTTGTTCCAGCTACACACTAAACCCCGTAAGACCACCATTTTAGCCACATTCATCAACACAACAAGAGGCCGAGTGGGGAAGTGAGGGGGCAGTGCCACGGGCCCTGGGTCTGGCTCCCTTAGGCTGGAACGGGCTGGGGTAGGTATGGAACAGCACTTGGCTACAGACCAGGACCAAAAATCAAAAGGGGCATCACTGGATTGAGAACCCAGAAAACCAGTGCTCTCTTCTAGGGAACCTGGGTGGAATGGAACAGCCTAACCTGTTCCCCTCTGTGCTCCATCCAGGCAGCTGTGCAGTGGGGGCCCATGATGGCATTTTTAGAATGCCCATTTCTTTTGCTCCGGATTCTAGATTTCCAGTTCTGACCTTGGGAAAATCAAACTGTCTTGCTCTTTTAAAAAACATGGGGATGGCCCTAGCCAGTTTTGCTCAGTGGTTAGAGGGTTGGCCCTGGAACTGAAGGGTCCTGGGTTCCTATCTGCTCAAGGGCTCACCCCTTGGCCCTGGACAGGTGCATGTAGGAGGCAACCAATAGATGTGTCTCTTTCTCATCAATGTTTCTCTCACTCTCTCTCCCCTCCACTTTCTCTAAAAAAATTAATGAAAAAAGTATCCTTGGGTGAGGACTAACAAACAAATAAACAAACAAACCATGGGGATGGTTTCCAAAAATTTATGAGCTTCCTTCTAGCTCCAAGGCTCTTGCCACTCTGGCTTCCAACTGCCTTTATAAAATCTCTGGGGATCTGGAAAAGAGAGGCTGAGACTTCTTCTCTTCTAAGGGCTGATTTCACGCTGGTGTTCCCCTTTCAATGAGCAGGCTAGAGGGCAGGACCCAGACCGGTCACTCTCAACGGGGCTGGAGCCAGACAGGAGGCAGGCCAACTGCTTCTCCCCAAAAACACCAGAGCAGAAGCAGATGGGTCTGCTTCGTAACGTTTAATATAAAATGGCAGCAGCCGCTGTGCAGTTGTAACAGAATTAGCCGTAGGGTGTCCAGAGAAATGTACACAGGCAGCCCTGGCTGGAGTGGAGCCAGCCAACGCAGGCCTGCTGCCCAGTCAGCTGCGGGCTGTCACATGGCCAGGACGATGGTGGTGGTGGCCCAGCAGTGCCGAAGGGCTCAGAGGTGCTGATCCTTTACAAGCATGCTGACCTCTACCCCACCGCAGAGTAGATCAGCGGTTGCCAACCTTTCGGACCTCACAGACCACCAGTGGTCCGTGGACCACCGGTTGGCGACCGCTGGTCTAGATGGCACATGTTCTGAGATGCCTGTTCCCAGAGCTCCAGCCCTGAGTGGGGGATTTCAGCCCTAAAGAGTGAAGCCCCTGGAAGGATGCAGGGCTGTGAAGAATGGGTGCCTGCTTACAAGCTGCGAGGGGCTGATGCCTCTGGAAATCAGCAGAAAGAAAGGCTAGGTTTTGGGGGGTTTCCCCCTGGAAAAGCCACCAGGTTCAAGTAAATGAGCAGAGGGCTCCCTGCCAAGGCTCACCCCCAAAAAGGAGGTGACTGCCTGCCTGCCCCCATGTGACCACCCTGGGAGGTGGGTGCGTCAGGCTTGGAATTTAGAGAGCAAGGGCAGTCCCCAAAGCCCATCCCCGTAGCCCAGAAAAGCCACTATGCTTCCTGTCGAGCCCATTTTAAGCCACTGAACACTTCCTAGGCTGGCTGGCCTGGCTCCGCGGCCCCCAGTGCTTGGCTGCCATTGTAGAGGACGCAACCTCGTGCAGAGGCCAGCAGGCGGGTGCAAGGGCAGCCAAGCCCCAGGACCTGCCTCAGGCAGGGGACGAGAGCTGCCACAACTCTACTTCCAAAGAAAGGCCTCGAGGTGCTGGGAAGAGGGTGCAGGTCTTGGCGTTAGTGGAAGTCCGTGTTGAAGGCTCTGCCGATGACCAGCCGCCTCACCTCACTGGTCCCGGCCCCGATCTCATACAGCTTGGCATCTCGCAGAAAGCGGCCCATGGGAAAGTCATTGATGTAGCCGTTGCCACCTGTAGCCAGGGTGTGGGCAGAGAAGAAAGGACAACAGGAAAAGTGATGGGAAGTGGGCAAAGCAAGAGAAGCCAACAGAAGGCCAAGGATACAGAACAGGCCGGAGGAAGAGAGACTGATGAAAGAGAACCAGCAAAAGCTGGTGAGAGGGCGGGCGTGGGGAATACCTTACTTGGGAGGACAGTGGACAAGGGGCCGGAAGGCCACCCAGAGGGCAGAGGACAGCAGGCAGGCAAGAGGACCACTGGTGGACATGGAGAAGGGGGATACGGCGATACCGCATAGCATTTACGGGGTGCCAGGTTCAGAGAAGTGAAGTAATTTGCACAAGTCACAAAGCTGGTCCATGGTAAAACCAAGACTCAGTCCTAGGCCATCTGGCTCGAGTCTGTGCTCTTAACCACTGTGCAGCTTGAAACCAGGCTGTCCACCCCCCTCTGAGGCATCTCTCTCCACTTCCTGGTGTCCGTAGGACGAGGCGTGAGGGGGGCGTGCTGCCTCCAGCAGTTTTCTCATTTGCTTTTCCATGTTCTCGTAATAACCGGGGCAGAAGCAGCTGAATAGCACCAGCTCCGCTGCAGCTAGCTGAAGCTCAGAGTGAGGGGTGAAGAGGACACCTCTTTCTGGAGGCAGCCACAGGCAAGCCCTGGGGAGGGGAGTGGGGAGCGGGGGCCACTCACCGAAACACTGAATGCCGTCCAGGGCCACCTGTGTGGCACACTCAGCTGTGTAAAGGATCACACCCGCGCAGTCCTGTGGGAGGAGGCCCAGGTCAGCAGGCCCTGCCAGGCCACACAGAGAGCGAGTCCCAGCAGCCCACCCGCCGCCTCCTTCGGGGCAGGCCCACCCTTACCTTGGCGGTGCAGTGGCCCTCGTCGCAGGCCTTGGCGACATTGTAGACGTACTGCCGACATGCCATAAGGCGGGTGTACATGTCGGCCATCTTCCCCTGCATCAGCTGGGCACAAAGGGAGGTCACACGTCAACTTTCCTCTTAGATACTCTCCCTAGTTACCAAAAGCAGATTGGCAGCAGCAACCTGACAGCCAGAAGGCAACATCAGGGCACAGAAAGCGGACAGGACTTGCCTAGGATGACAGAGAGGGTAGAGGGCTGCTGCTGCTCCCTGAAGTGGCCCTCCACCCAGCACCACCCTCACTCACGCCCTGCAGCGTCTTCACACCAGAAAGGGTGACTAGAAACGCCGCCCCCGGTACCCCACGCCTCACCCTCACAGTGTCTAGTTCATTCACCTCAAACGAGAAGTGAGGGGACATGGGGTGAACTTCCCGACAACCTCCCAAGCCAGGTAGCACGCTGAAGAAGCCTGCCCTCCAAGCATTCAAATCACTCCGCTGGGGAAGGCTGGCAGGTGCCCACAGCACATGCTCCACGTTCTCATGCTCCACGTTCTCATTTGTGAAAGGAAACTTGAACCCAATGACAGAGGACATGTCGACAAAGCATTCCACTCACCTGGAAGTGGCCAATCTTCTGGCCAAAGGCTTCCCTCACGTGCAGGTAGGGAATGGTGTGGTCCAGGACGGACTGCATGATCCTGTGGGGAGGTGCCTCCCTGTCCCCCTGCTGCCAGCTGGGGTGGCAAAATGCCAGTGTGAGAAGGCTTGGGGGGCGGGAGGGGGCAGCTCAGTGAGGCAAAGAGCTGGGGTTCTAGAGAGGAGAAAAGGAGACTGAGGACACTGGTTGCCCCTGCTCGGTGACTGCACCCCAAGACCAGACAGAGCGGCAAGACCCCTGTGCAGCGGGGCCTTAGAGCCTGGGTGTCCTGTTTCACATCTCAGGTGACTGAGCAGTATTGCTCCTCAGGCATTTTGTCTTTTAAAGAATGTTCTTTACCTTCGGTGTGAAGAAATAACTCATGGGAGTAGGAGGTTGTTTTCATTTCCAGGAAAGAAGGTACATCGGCCAGGAGGGGAGGACTGCGGCTGTGGCTGCTGTTTGCCAGGGCACTGCTTGCCAGGGAAGCTAAGAGCCCAGCTCCCCCACCCCCACCCTGAGCCTCACACTCACCCGAGGGGCCCACCAGCCAGCACCAGCCGCTCCAGGTCCAGCCCACTCATCAGCACGTAGACGCCCTTACTGAGATGGCCCAAGATGTTCTCAGCTGCTGGGAAAAGTGCTGGTCAGAGGGAAGAGGGCTGTCCACCGCCCACAGACTTCTCACTTTATAAGACCTACTAGGTTTGGTACCATGGCTCTCATACCAGGCACTAAAATATGTCACCTGACCTTCAACGAGGGAGATTCTGGATGAGAGAAAAGGATGGAGTTTACCACTCCCTGTCAGAAGTAGAGCTTGCCAGACAGACATCCCCGCCCCCCCACACACACGATCCACAGGATCAGACACAAAGGCCCGACTCTTAGGTCTTTTCCTCCTCCACTGCCTTGGATGGGAAGAAGAAAAGCTAATTTGGTCTAGAAGTCACCCAAACCCTTCCTAGTATTTTCACGCCTGTGTCCGTAATTACCCTTTCCCTCAGGTTGAGCCTGCTCTGGTCCAATATCACCCGTTCCCTCCCCTCCAAGAGTGTCCATGGAATAGTCATCGTTCGGCAGATGGGCCAGTCCACACTGGTGTCAGAAACTGCTGAGCCCCTCTCCACCCCGGAAGCCGGGACCTTGGGTGACCTCCGAGTGTTTTCCTGCTTACGAAGGAGGATCTGCACTGATCCCCCACTCCCTTGATAATCTTTGTAACCAAAGCATACTTTTCTTGGGTGGTGGATCATGAGGGTGAGGCGTGGTCTGTAGCTAAGGTGCAGAGTAAACCTAGTCGGTGATCAAATCTATGTCTTTGGTCCCACAACGTGTCACATTTTCAGTTACACTTCAGGGGAGAAAATACCCTTACACTTCAGGGGAGAAAATACCCAAACTGATGCCTTCCCTTCACTGAGTCCGGCTTCCATCAGTGTACTTGGATGGGGTTTGAGCATTGTTAATGAACACCTCACACAGGCTGTACCGGGAAACGTGCAAACAAGGACGTCTGAAGGACGTTAGCGGGCCAGAGTGGATCTTATCTTTCTATTCCAGATACTGGAATCCAACCCAGACACAGTGTGTTATCCACATAGGAAACAGGCACACAGGGAAAACGCTGCCCCTCAGCCCCAGAGTCCCACACGGATGGGCCTGTGGGCCAGCCACAGTCATTGGTAAGCTAACAATGGGAGCCTCTCTAACCCAGAGATGGGCTTTCTCAGCTTATGAAGGGGTCAGCACAGGGGCTCACCCTTTCTTAGACTCACCAGGAACCTTGCAGTCTTCAAAGATGAGCTCACAGGTGTTAGAACCCCTCATCCCCAGCTTGTCCAGCTTCTTGGCGGTGCTGAAGCCAGGCATGCTCTTCACAGAAACAAAAGGTGGCCTTGAGTACAGACCAGGCCCAACAGGGTCTAGTAAAGGGAAGACCCTTGCAAAAAGCCCACCTTCCCATCCAGCCCCAGTACTCCCACGCACACCAGCATTCGGATCCCAGGGCCCACCCTGTACGGGTCCACTCCTGGAAACTCCAGCCCTAACACCCCACCAGACCCTAGCCTTCTCTGCCGCTAGCTTGCGCTCTCCCCACTTCTCACAGGGGCACTTCTTTCTCAAACGCCTGATCCCTGGGGCCCGCTTGACCCTTCCTAGCTTTGTTTCCTTTCCTTAGGGAAATAATTTCCAAGATATTCTCACGGGCCCATGCAATTCCTTCGGCCCTTTGTTCCTCTGCCATCTGCACCTAATTGAATCACAGCTGGGATCAATTTAACCACCTGTGTGCTTTGGCCTTGACCAGTGATCGGCAAACTCATTAGTCAACAGAGCCAAATATCAACAGTACAACGATTGAAATTTCTTTTGAGAGCCAAATTTTTTAAACTTAAACTATATAGGTAGGTACATTGTTATTAACTTAATTAGGGTACTCCTAAGGCTTAGGAAGAGCCACACTCAAGGGGCCAAAGAGCCGCATGTGGCTCGCGAGCCACAGTTTGCCGACCACGGACCTAGACTAATCAGATGCACTGTGCAAGGGCAAGTGCTCTGAGCGCACGTTTTGCTTCCCTAACCTCCCGGCTGCTGAGTGGCGTTACACAACCTTGAGATTTCCAATCTTAGCCAAGCCCTTTGGGCTACTCAATTCTCATCCTCCAATCCTAGCCAGCCACTTTCTCCCTCTCCCTAGGGAGGGTATTGCAAACCCTGAAGACACTACCAAGTCCCCCATCCCTGTGGTCCCCAGCCCTCACAGATGCCCCGGCTTTCCACCTCAAGGTCACCAGGCACATCTTCCTCCCCCATCACCTGTACCAGCCTTACCTCTTCGTCCTCAACTCTCCATTGTGTTTTGCTCACTTGCTCAGACACATCTCAAGTTCTCCCTCTCCTGAATTTCTTTCTCTTTATCAAAAAATTTGCTCAGTTCTCTCCCATTCTTTTTAAAAAATATTTTATTGATTTTTTATCAATAAAAGGAAGGAAGGAAGAGGGATAGAGAGTTAGAAACATCGATCAACTGTCTCCTGCACAGCCCCTACTGGGGCTGTGCCTGCAACCGGAATTGAACCTGGGACCCTTCAGTTCGCAGGCCAACGCTCTATCCACTGAGCCAAACCGGTTAGGGCTCTCTCCCATTCTTTTTTTTTTTTTTTTTAATATATTTTATTGATTTTTTACAGAGGGGAAGGGAGAAGGATCAAGAGTTAGAAACATCGATGAGAGAGAAACATTGTTCAGCTGCCTCCTGCACACCCCCTACTGGGGATGTGCCCGCAACCAAGGTACATGCCTTGACTGGAATCGAACCTGGGACCCTTTAGTCCGCAGGCCGATGCTCCATTCACTGAGCCAAACTGGTTAGGGCATCTCTCCCATTCTTAAAAACAAACTCAAACTCCCAACTTTTGTTGTTGTTGTTGTTAATCCTCACCAGAGGATATTTTTTCCATTGATTTTTTTTTTAGAGAGAATGGAAGGGAGGGGGAGAGACAGAGAGAGAGAAACATTGATATGAAAGAGACACACTGACTGTTTGCCTCCTGGATCAAGCCTGCAATCGAGGTACGTGCCCTTGACCGGAAGTGGCGCTCTAACCAGGCTAGGGCCAAACTCCCAACTTTTCATTCTACCATCTGCCCCATCTCCCTCTTGCTTTTATTGTCAAGATCTGGCCCTAGCCGGTTTGGCTCAGTAGATAGAGTGTCCATCTGTGGACCAAAGGGTCCTGGGTTCGATTCCAGTAAAGGGCACATGCCCAGGTTGCAGGCTCGATCCCCAGTAGGGGGCATGCAGGAGGCAGCCAATCAATGATTATCTCTCATCATTGATGTTTCTATCTCTCCCTCTCCCTTCCTCTCTGAAATCAATATATATAAAGATTTGAAAGGTGCAGTCTTCATTCCGTCTCCACTCGCATTCCCATTCACACTTCCACTTCAGTCTTCCACAGCTGCTCTCAGCAGCCCCCTGATGACACCTTCATTGTCAAATCCAGTTCTCCTCAGTCCTCATCATCCTGACCCTGTGTGTGGCCTGGCTCGGTGGGCGGCTCCACCAATCTCAGACTTGACGCAGCCTCCCTGATGCCACCCTCCTTTCAGTCTGCTCTTCACCCCACCCCAGGGAGCCTTGGCAGGGCACACAGGATAGCTCGTGTTTGCCATCAGGGGAAGGGATCTCTCTCTGGCATCACTGTCAGGAGACAGAGGCCTCCCACCTGCACTCCCCCTCCATTCACCTTCTCCACGATGAAGGCTGTGATGCCCCGAGAAGCGGGCACAGCAGCCAGATCTGTCTTGGCGTAGACAACGAGGACGTCGGCATCAGGGCCATTGGTGATCCAGAACTTGTTGCCATTCAGGATGTAGTAATCTCCTAAGAACAGGAATTTAGCCCATGTTGGCCCATCTCAGCCAGTCAGTCCACCGACTGCTAAGCAGGAAGCTGCCCAGCTGGAAATAGTTCTGGAAATCTAGCAGAGGCCACCCCAATGATTGTCCCTCTGCCTTTTCAGCTCCCAAGTCGAAAGAGGCCTCACCTTTCTTTTCAGCTTTTAGCTTCATGGAGACAACATCAGAGCCAGCATTGGGCTCACTCATGGCCAGGGCTCCGACGTACTCCCCACTGATCAGCTGCAAGGGAAACCCCAAAGGGCCTGGTTATGACTTTAGAAGTACCTCCAGGAGCTGAGATACTTCCTGCCTGTTTGCGTGACACCCCTTCACACTTCTCTCAAAGATCGGGCTATTGGTACAGTCTTACAAAAGAAGCCCAGTATGTACAAGGCTGAAAATCTCTCTCCTTTTCCTAGTCCCTTTGCACAGAAGCAAGTCTTAGTCTTCAGTTTCTGAGAGTGCTCCCTGCAAATGCTGCCCAGTGATGAACTCGGAAGGTTTGGCCGTATTTTTAATTTTTTTGACTGAAGTATTTGAAAGCCAAACCCTGACCCCTTCCTAACTGTACCTGGTTCAGGGCAGCGTGCGACGGAAAGCAAATCTGACTGGCCCTCGACCACAGGGAGGGCGCCTCGTGTTTGGTGGTCGCACCGAGATCAGGGCGTGTTTCTCCGTTCCCACTGCCTCACCTTGGGGAGGTACTTCTCCTTCTGGGCCTCATTCCCATTGCGCACGATTTGATTGATGCAGAGATTGGAGTGGGCACCGTAGCTGAGTCCCACGGCGCCGGAAGCTCGGGATATTTCCTCCATCACCAGCACATGTTCCAGGTAGCCCATGCCAGAGCCGCCATACTGGGCTGGGAGTAGAGGTTGTGCAGGGGAACAGAAAAGGCAGCTCAGATTAAACCAGGACACTGACAGGATCCTAACAGTTATTGGCAGCAGAGAAACATCCTTGTAGCACCTATTCCAAGTTCTTGCTGACAGAGTCAACAGGTTGATGCCATGGAGTCTGTCTACAAACACACAGAACCGGTTCTGTTTGCTGCCTCTGTCAGCTGAGGTGGTTCAGAAAACAGCCATTGCAACCCCCACTTTATCCCAGACAGACCTCTTAATGAAGGCAGGAGAACCTGAAGTGCAAGACAGATGTTTGTGTAAAAGGCCTGAGGCAAGTGAGATGTGCACAGCATAGGTTTGGACCTAAAGAAACAGGACTATCAAATAAACAAATTGTACACCTTAAACATACATAAGGTTACACGTCAGTTATATCTCAATGAAAACAGTTAAAAAAAGAAAAAAAAGCAAGATTAGTAACAGGAACAGGAGAGCCACAGCCTGAGAGAAATTCTGGTGGGCAGTGCAGTTGAGATGCTGGTTAGGGAATTTCGGAACTCCTCATAAAAATGTGCCTTTTCCTTGGCAGGAGGTCCTAAATCAAAATGGCTGGCTCAGTGGATAGAGCGTTGGCCTGCGGACTGAAGGATCCCGGGTTCGATTCCAGTCAAGGACACATGCCTGGTTTTGGGCTCGATCCCCAGTATGGGGTGTGCAGGAGGTAGCTGATCAATGATTCTCTCTCATCACTGATGTTTCTATCTCTCTCTCCCCCCTCCCTTCCTCTCTGAAATCAATAAAAAAAAAAAGTGGCTGGGTCTGCCACTGCTATTTGGGTAAACCCTGGTGAGATTCTCTGCACGTGTTCACTCTTGACCAAGAAATTAGGCTCATCCAAGGCTCTCCGGAAAGGCTGGCCCGCCCCCTGCAATTCCGGGAAGGAAAGCCCTCAGGTGGTGACCCTGGAAAAAGCCACCAGGACAATCAGGCAGAAACCAGAACTTATATCTGGCTTTCTTTTCAAGTTTCTGATTTCTAACTACCTTCTTCTTCCATTAAAATACCATCTGGTTCAGAAACATATTCTTTTTAAAAAAAATATATTTTATTGATTTTTTACAGAGAGGAAGGGAGAGGGATAGAGAGTTAGAAACCAGCTGCCTACTGGGGATGTGCCTGCAGCCAAGGTACATGCCCTTGACCGGAATCGAACCTGGGACCCTTCAGTCTGTAGGCCGACGCTCTATCCACTGAGCCAAACCAGTTAGGGCAGAAACATATTCTTTATGGGGTTCATAAACTCCCAAGACACAGAGGAAGAAAGTCTTGTTTAGGAGTTTCCAGTGGCCTTCCCCCTATTTCCCATGAAGGTGGTCTAAATTAATTTTTAAGTGGTTTCATTTTATCATTACTCATGATCTAACTTTCTATGGTCAGCTCAAAACTAAGAACTGTCTCCAAGGGGTTGAGGGGGAGATGTAAGGAGAAGTATACTGTTTTCCATCTCCATTCCAATGCCCAAGGAATACCAGCTGAGGCAGGCTGTGCCATCCCCGGCTTTAGCTGGTGAGGCCACAGTCTCATCTATTTATTGGGCATTGCAAGCCAGGCCGGGCCTCTCCTTCAGAGGCCAACATCCAAATCAGAGACCACCAGCTCCCTGCCCTTTATCCCTGGAAACAAGTAGTAAGACCCACAGGGGACACAGGGCAGGCCCAGGGACAGGGTGTTTAACACATCATCTGGCCACCTCATGTGGAGGCTCAGCATTCCTCCACAACTTCATCTGTTTCCAAATGAGCCCCAGGACCAAGCTGCGTGCCTAGATGTTATTGGTAGAAGAGTTAAGAGCTTAGGGACTAGACGAAGGGACTAGGCTGCCAATATCACCTGGGGAAGCTTATTCAGCACGCAGACTTCAAGAGTCCAATTAATCCTGACCCAAGTGAACCACACTGGCCTAATCCCTTTGTCATCTCAACATCACTGCCTAAGAAAATAGAAGGGCTGACAGTCAATGCGAGCTTTCCTAGGACCAAGGGGGAGGAAGTGCTGGGTTTCTTTGAGCACAATCCTTTTTTTTTTCTTTGAGCACAGTCTTTTCACTCCTTTCCTGCTTCTTTTAGCTCTCGTGTTAAAGGGCACGCAAGAAAAGTTCTCTCTGGGGAATTAAACGATACTCACCCGGGGCTGTGATGCCCAGGACTCCCAGTTTCCCCAGCTGCTTCCAAAACTCCTGCCAACAGAATGGAGAGAGCACAGTGGGTGGTGAGAAGGCAGCCAGTCACAGGTGCCTGGACACCTGGAACAAGGAGACCCAAACCCTTCACAGAAAGGGGCTGCATTTTTTAAGGAGGTTTCATTTACCAGAAGACTGTATGAGTTCTTCCAGGCTGCAGTGTAACTCCCAGCACCGCCCAGCTCCCAGACTGCCCCCCTGCACCCCCAGTGTGGACCTCAGAACTCACTCGAAGGTTCTTGAATTCATTGCTTCGATCAATCTCCTGAGCCTGGGGGGCTAGGTGCTCCTGCAGGAACTTAGAGAGGGTGTGACGAAGCTAGAGGGAGAGAGGTGCACAGATGCCTCTTTAACATTATTGCCACTGCAGACGGCGTCTCCACTGCCGAGGACACATTCAGGAAAACAGGCTCCACCACATGCCCCCAAACGGCATCAGACGGAAACTTAAGAGACCCGTAGTTTATGCTTCCTCAGAGATCATCTTCGCCCCTCTTTCTTGAGGTCCTCAGTCTAGACAGCTTCATGATTATCTTTTAAATGTCACTCCCCTACATAAAACCATTCCATGGCTTTCCTTCGTACTTAGAAGGCCGAGGCCCTGCATGAACTGACCCTTCCAACCCAACCCTTCCAGCCTTCTCCAGTCCCCCCCCCCCCGCCCCCACTCCTACCCCGGCCACCGTTGTAAGCACCTGTCGGCTCTTTTCTGCCCTTTGTCTCAAAGGGATTACTCAACACATTAGAAACTCCTCTTGGCAGGAAAGTTTGAGAACTAGAACTGCTTTCTAGTTCTCCGGCGTGATTGAAAGCTCTGCCTGCTGTCTGTGAACCCGAGTGGGCTTGGAGTTCCGGGAAACACTGGCACATGCTCGCTGTTGCCACAGGAAAATCACCTGCCGGTGGAGCCGTGCCAAGTGAAGTCTCCTCCCTCCTGGAAGGGCTCTGCCTCGGCTCCAGTTGTAATGACATATTTCAAGTACTTAGTGCTCCGACTCTGTGGGTGAGATTCCACTGCCTTTCAAAGCCCCCGGGGTGTGCGCTGGAAAGCGATTTCTCGGGGAGAATGATTAACCTTGGCGTTCCTTCAGTGTGAGCGGGCTTCAGGCGGACTGGGGCCCCCTTGCCACGCACCGGCGGCCCCTGCCAGACCGCCACCAGAAGACGCTCCGTTCCAGCAGCTGTCCTGCCAGCCTCCGCATCCCCCTCCCGCAGCCGGGCGCACGGGTGGCAGGTGGGCAGGCGAGCGCCAAGGCGACCCCGAAGCGGGCAGCTGGGGCCAGGCCGGGAGGCCTACGGGCCCGGAGGAGGGTCAGGCTCCCTACCTGCTTCTGCTCCTCAGTCAGCCCGTTGATCGCATCGTCCACCGCCAGCAGCGAGTGGGCCCGCCGGGAAACGACGCGGGCCAGCGGCGCCTGCAGCCTCCAGCTCCTCGCACGCAGCCCCAGCAGCCGAGCTGTAGTCGCCATCTCCGCAGCGCACCGAGCCCGAGCCGAGCGGAGATGAGCCCGCCCTACGGGCTCCGCCAATCCGGCTGCGCTGCCCCACCAATCGGCGAGGGGGATGGGTCTGCAGCAGCCTATCCCGCTGCCCGCGGCGGCCCCGCTGCCCTCCGCCCGCGCCAGAGCTAATCGGCGGTGACCCCGCGGGAGGCGGTCTGAGTGCCAGGCGCGGACTCGCTGGCGTCAGCGCCCAGCCGGGCTGGGTCTTCTTTAAGTAGAATAGCAAGAGCAGTGTCTTCCTTTTCTGAGTGGAGGACATAGTACTTCTCCTCCACTGAAAACCGGGTGTTAAAACAGCAAAGAGAGCCCTAGCTGGTTTGGCTCAGTGGATGGCGCGCTGGCCTGGGGACTGAAGGGTCCCAGGTTCGATTCCGGTCAAGGGCACATGCCTGGATTGTGGGCTCCATCCCCACTGGGGGGCTTGCAGGAGGCAGCTGATATCTCTCTCTCTCCCTCGCATATCTGGCGCTTTGGCCAGACCGGGTCATGCTGTGCTGTCTGTTCCCAAAACACATAGATAGGAAGGTACTGAACATCAGGCCAGGCCTTGAGATATGGTCTCATGGCCCCTTCCCAGCACGCGGCCTTCTTTCTCTGAAGGCCCAGAAGTCTCATTCCAAATTTGGGAGACAAAGGACTGGAAAAAGTATAAATAAAGAGAGTTTCCTCCATATTGGGGGCCCAGAATTTGAAAGACACATTTTTCTCTGGGCCTCCACAGAATTTAATAATAAAATGTAACTCCTGTAGTCGGCACTGCAGTTCAGCCTCTGCTTCGGCAGGGTGCTGTAACTGTAGTCAGCTGGCCAGCTTAATAAAGGCTCTTAAATTTAAATTCTGAGTCGGTGGTCTATCTCGCTGTGTGAACCCATAACACCTTTCCTCTCTGAAATCAATAAATATATATTAAAAAAACAAAATGGCAAAGGTTAAACACGAATAGAGACTCTAGCAGCAAGAGAAAAGCAGTTAGTTACCGACAAGGGGGCTCCATAAACTGTCAGCTGATTTCTCAACAAACATTTCAGACTAAAAGGGATTGGCATGAAATATTCAAAGTGATTAAAGCAAGGATCTACAACCAAGGCTACTCTACCTAGCAATCCAAATTCAGCAATACATTTAAAAGATTATACACTATTTCCTGGGATGCAAGGTTGGTTCAAAATCCACAAATCAATTAACATGATATACCATATAAACAATAAACAAAATGAGCGATAAATGTCATATGATCATATCAATAGATGCAGAAAAAACATTTTACAAAATCCAGCATTTATTTATGATAAAAACTCTCAGCAATGGGGAAGTAGAAGGAATGTACCTCAACACAATAAAGGCCATATGTGACAAACCCACAGCTAACAGCATTTTTGTTAAGATCAGGAACAATACAGGGTTGTCCATGTTCAACATAGCATTCGAAATCTAATCACAGCAATCAGACAAGAAAAGAAATAAAAGGTATCCAAATTGGAAAGGAAGAAGTAAAAGTTATTATTTACAGAAGACATGATACTATACTAATATATAGAGAACACTACATATCCTACTATCCTGCTTAAAGGTCAAAATGAAACGGAAAGTCTAATGGATTTACCCACAGGCAAATCATTGGTGACCTTAGCGAAGATTGTATTGATAGAGTAATGAGACAAGAAGTCAGATTATGCATAGGTGAAAGAAAAAAGTCACAATAGAAATTGGAAAATATTTTAAACACAATGGTAAGTAAAGAAAATATGACATAGCCAAATGTGTGGGATGCAGCTATCTGGCCCTTAGAGGAAAATTTATAGTTGTGAAAGCAAAATTCAACAGAGTAAATTTGAAGACCTAATTGGCTTTATTAAGCAATCCGTAAATCGGGCAGTGTCCGATTTGGCAACTAGAAAGTTCAACTGAGTTGAACAAAATGAAATAGTTCTGTAGGCAGAAAGTGGGTGGGACTAAGAAGTTAAAAGAGTAGATTATTTTGACAAGTAAATAGGCGAGAGATCTTATTAGGTAGATTACCTCAGGGCTGACCAGGAAATTTCAGACTAATTGGTTTAAAAATTTGACTCCAGGGAGAGTCAGAAACTGCAGTTAGGTGACTTATTTAGTTTTGGTTTGGTGAGTTAGCTTAGCAGAATTGACTCCATTTGTCTGTTGTTTCTTTGTTTGACAACTGGATATGAGAAAACTTGAAATGAAGTTATCTAGTCTTCTGTTTTAAGAAGATAGAAAAAGAACACTAAATTACAACAAATATAGATGGAAATGAATAATAAGAGTGGAAATGCCTAAAGAGAGAGCAGATTTACAACAAAGAAAAGCAACATAAAATTGATGAAACACTAACAAGACCAATCAAGAGAAATTACAAATTACTAATAACAAGAATGAGAAAGGGGATAGCCTTCAGAACCTACTGATATGAAAAATATAAGAGGATATTTTTAGCAATTCATGCCAACACATTTGACAATGACGAAATGGACAAATCCACTTATATGAAATTCAGCAAAAGAATACTCATAGATGGTGATTTTTCTGTCAGAATAGTGCTCCTCTCTGGAGGTGGTGGTGGCAGCAAAAAGGACACCAGAATTTTACTGGTGATTGAACCTGGGTACTTGAGTTCTGGCTAAGAAAATATTCAGAGATAAGACTCAAACTATAAGAGAAAGTTCATTCAGAAAGTTACAGAGGCAGAAGAACTGAGCTGTAGAAGAAATGTGCTCAGAAAACAAGTTACAGAAGCAAAAGAAGGGCTGCCCTAGCTGGTTTGGCTCAGTGGATAGAGTGTCAGCTGCGGACCAAAGGGTCCAGGGTTCAATTCCAGTCCAAGGGCCACATGTTGGTTGCAGCTTGATCCCCGCCCTGATCAGACGCATGCAGGAGGCTATCAATCATGTGTCTCTCTTAATATCAATATTCTCTTTGTCTCTCCCCTCCTTTACCTCTCTGAAAGTCGATGGCCAGATATCTCATGGTGAGGATTCAACAAATAGACAAAAAAAGAAGTGGTCCTTGGAGTTTAGGAGCAAGAGAGAAAGGTAAAGGTAACTTGCCTGAGTGGGGTGGGTGGGGTTGGGGTGGGGATGGGGGGATGAGGGGGAGGGGAATGCGGGAAAGGAGTGGGCGTTCTCCAGAGAGGGAGAACAGCTGTGTCCTCCAGTCCTAAGGGCTCTTAAGGGTGGAGATTCTAGGGGAAGTCCTAGGGGAGAACCTCAATAGAATATCCATCAGCTTTCCAGGCGTGTCCTTTCAGGGTCGTGGTTTCCACTGATGGATGGGCCCCAGGGCAGAGGGTCATTAGTCAACAAAACTGGTCCTGAGATTTTGCTGCTTTTCTGGGCCTGGAGCTGAAACACAACTGAGGCCTAAATGTATCTGATGCAGGTCAGAACCTCATTGTCCTGGGGGCTTCATATTTAATGGCTGTTCATGGGCACTGATTTTTTTTTTTAATATATTTTATTGATTTTTTACAGAGAGGAAGGGAGAGAGATAGAGAGTCAGAAACATTGATGAGAGAGAAACATCAACCAGCTGCCTCCTGCACATCTCCCACTGGGGATGTGCCCGCAACCCAGGTACATGCCCTTGACTGGAATCGAACCTGGGACCTTTTAGTCCGCAGGCCGACGCTCTACCCACTGAGCCAAACCAGTCAGGGCAATGGGCACTGATTTTTGTTCCCCCTCTAAGGGGGTCTAACCTACATGACTACCAACATGCCAGGGGAGGAGAGGTCAGGGGAGGGTCAAGACCACCTGACCAATGACATGAAAGATCAGGGAATCTAAACCGAATGACCAGTGATATGATAGGGGAAGAAAGGTTACCCTCGGGGCGAGGTCCTTGTTTTCCCAGTTTTTTCTTGTTGCTAGGCTCCGGGGCTTTCCACACCAGAGACCTTCTGCAGCTTGGCCCATCGTCCTTGCTCTGCTCATGTCTGGCTAACTGCCTACTACAGAGGGAGGTAGTAATTTATTAACCTGTATACTTAAGGTTAGTAAACTTTGGTAAACCCCCAATACATTTTATTAAGAATTGTAGTATCCTAAATAATAAAAAGGTAATATGCAAATTGACCATCACTCCAACACACAAGATAGCTGCCCTCATGTGGTCAAAGATGGCCGGCCCCATGTGGACACAAGATGGTTGGCAAGGGAGGGCAGTTGGGGGGAATCAGGCAGACAGGTTGGGTACGCAGTTGAAAGACAGCTGTCCTTGATTGCTAGATTGTGATCCCAATTGAGATGGGTCCTATAAGGGGCAATTGGACAACCCCCAAGGGGTCCCCAGATGGGAGAGGGCGCAGTCTGGGTACCCCCCCCCCCCCCCCCCCCGCACGAATTTCATGCACCGGGCCTCTAGTAGTATACATAACAAAATTTGCCATTTTAACTATTTAAGTGTACATCAGTGACATTAAGTACATTTGCAGTGTTGCGCATCCATCACCACTATGCATTTCCAGAACTTTTCATCTTGTCAAATAGAAACTGTACATTTTAAAGTTCCTGTTCCTTTCTTCATCCAGCCACTGGTAACCTCTATAGTGGGGCCTTGACTTACGAGTTTAATTCGTTCTGTGATGGAGCTCGTAACTCAAATTACTCGTATGTCAAATCAAAATGTGAACGAGTGAGACACGTGATGCTGGGCTGATGTTGTGGCGTTCACTGTGACGTTCGCTGCGCCAACTAGCGGTGGGGTATCTGAAGCTGGCTCGTAACCCGAATTTTAGCTCGCAACTCAAAGCAAAAAATCGGCCGAGAGACGGCTCGTATCTCGAAAAACTCGTTAGTTGGGACACTCATAAGTCAAGGCCCCACTGTATTCTACTTTCTGTCTCTATTAATTTGCGTACTCTAGGTATCCTCATGTAATCAGACTGGAAGGGAAAAAGGACAGTGAGTTAATGAATATGAGATAGATGGCAGCTGGAGGGGATGAGAATGGTGTTTTGTTTGTTTGTTTGTTTTTCAAGATGGTTGTATTTGAGCCTAAGAGAT